TCATTTTTTCTTGGTCAGTCTAGCTAGGGGATCATCGATCTTGTTTATCCTTTCAAAGAACCAGCTTTTTGTTTCATTGATTTTTTTGTATTGTCTTTTAGTCTTCTCTGTCCTGGATTTGGGCTTTTATTTTGGTAATCTGGATTCTTCTGCTGAAATTAGGGTTTTTGTGGTCTTTCTTTTCCAGCTTCCTTAGATAGCTTGTTAGGCTGTTAATTTGTGTTCCTTCCATTTTCTTCATGTGTGTTTGTAGGGATATAAATTCCCCTCTTATTACAGGTTTCAAGGCATCCCAGAGATTTTGGTAAGATGTTTCTTCATTTTCATTTGTTTCCAGGTATTTTTTTATCTCTGTTTTGATTTCATTATTGACCCAGGAGTTGTTTAGCATCATGCTGTTTAGTGTCCATGTCTTTGTGGGTTTTGGGGGAATCTTGCTGGTGCCAATGTTTATTTTTATTCCACTGTGGTCTGAGAAGGTGCATGGTAGAATTTCAGTCCTTATAAATTTGCTTATGCTGGATTTATGTCCAATTATGTGGTCCATCTTAGAATATGTTCAATGTAGTGATGAGTAGAATGTGTACTCTGTGGCCTTTGGATGGAGTGTTCTGTAGGTATCAATTAAGTCCATTTGGTCCAGAGTCTCATTGAGGTTCCGGATCTCATTGCTGATTTTTTGTCCTGATGAACTGTCTAGGGTTGTGAGTTGGGTATTAAAGTCTCCAGTTATGATGGTGTTAAAGTCAATGTCTTTATTTAGTTTTCCTAGAAGTTGCTTTATGAAAGTTGGCGCACCTATGTTGGGTGCATATATGTTTAGGGTAGATATTTCTTGTTGATGGAGTGAACCTTTTATCATTATGTAGTGACCCTCTGTATCTTTTTTAATTTTTGATAGCTTAAATGGTATTTTGTCTGACATTAGGATTGCGACTCCTCCTTTCTTTTGTGTTTCATTCCCCTGAAAGTTTGTTTCCCATCCTCTTACTTTGAGTCTGTGTATGTCATTTCTAGTGAGATGGGTCTCTTGAAGGCAGTATATTGTTGCCTGGTGATATTTTGTCCATTTTGCCGTTCTATATCTTTTCAGTGGTGTGTTTAGTCCATTCACATTCAGGCTAATTATTGAAATGTGATAGTTCATCCCTATCATAGAGTCCTTATAGAGTTGCTGGGGTTGGTTCATGTATATTTTATTCTTTTCCCTGTACTCTTGTGAAGAATGTTGTTCTCTTTTCCTTTTCTTCTGTGTTTAGTACTTTCTTAAGTGTTTCATGTAGAGATGGTTTGGTGGCAGCTTAAGTTCTTAGGGATTGGATATCTGGGAAAGATTTTAATTCTCTCTCACTGATGAAGCTTAGCTTGGCCAGGTAGGTTATTCTTGGTTGAAATTGTTTATGTTTTAGGACTTTGAAGATAGGGCTCCAAGCTCTCCTAGCCTGCAGGTCTTCTGTAGATAAATGTGCTGCTATTCTGATTGGTCTTCCATGGTAGGTGATCTGGCCTTTTTCTCTTGCTGCCTTTAGGATTTTTTCTTTTATGCCTACTTTGTTTAGGCGAATTCTTATGTGTCTAGGAGTTGGTCTTCTCATTTGTTGTCTTGCAGGGGTTCTCTGAATCTCTTGTGTTTGAATTTTTGCATCACTGATTTAGATAAGGGAAGTTTTCTTGAATGATCTCATGGAAGGTTTGTTCCAGTGTGGTTCTGTCTCTCTTTCTGCCTCAGGAAGTCCAATTACTCTTAGGTTAGGCCTCTTTAGGTAATTGCTCATATCTTGAATGTTTTGTTCTGTCTTTTTGAGTTTATTTTCTGTTTTTAAGAGTTTGGGTTATTTCTTTATTTTGGTCTTCAAGCTCTGAGATTCTTTCTTCTGCTTGGGTAATTCTGCTTTCCATGCTTATCAGTTTTTTATTTATTTCATTCACAGTATTCTTTATTACTATTATCTCAGATATCAGTTCCTTCCTAGTTTCTTTTTGCGTCTCCTTAATTCTTTTTAATCTCTCCATTATTGTCTTGATATCTACGTTTGTAGTTTGAAACCCTTCATTCTGGGGGCTCTTCATTGTTTGCATTATGAAGTCAGTTTTCTCAGTGTCTGCCCTCCCAGGGGTCTGGGAAAGACCCATACTCTTCTTTTGGTTTTTCTTCATTTGTGTAGATTTTTCTCTCTCCCCCCCTTCTTTAATTCTGTTTTTGAGGGAAGGTGGGGTTGCTTTTATTTCTTTTCTGCAATATCCTGTTCTTCCTTATGAGGGTCTTCTGGCTTTGTTCACTTTTCAGTTTGGAGCATAGGCTACAATCTGTACTTTTTGCAGTTTTGAGGTTTAATTGAGAGGGAAGC